TGGGGAAGGCTTAAATTAGAATCAGAGGTCCTATGTCTAAAATGTTTACAACCACTATATAACAGTTAGATACAGATTATGTCATGGAATCCTGGCCTTTAGGGACCCGTGTGTGCTCTCTTAATTTCATGGTCCCTCTCATATACTCTAGTCATTGCACTGTCCCCAAGTGCTCCTGATGTTCCTCACTAGATGAGGTTGTTCTGTCTGGACCCATTGCCTGGCACCTGATTATTCTGATCAAATCCTTCTTCCTTAAAGTAAAGGGAAAAGGCTTATTGACATTTCAGAATTTTAAAGCATGCCCAGAGGAATTCTGGTACTCAAAGCATCACTGAAGAAATCCCGCTTTCTATGGATGAGAGATTAAGTTAATTTTCTGCTCAACCTACTTAGAAAACAGGGAAATTAAAATAACTGTGAGACAATATATTTTCATCCAAAAGTTTGGCCAAAATTTTAAAAGTTGGTAAAATAAATGTCTGTGAGAGTATAAATCATTTACATGCATTAAACGCGAGAGTATGAGTCAGCACTGCTTTATTAGAATAGAATTTCAGCAATATTTATAAAAATTTACAATCACCACATTTTTTCTACTTTAATCCAATTTACACTTTGCTATGTTTTTCCTACAAGAAAACATGCATATTCGCCCAAGAATTCATGCTCACTGATGTGGATATCAGTTCTAGTAATCATAGCAGTGTATGGGAAACAGTTTATGTGTCCATCAGGAGCAGAATGGTTAAGTTAAATATGGCACATATGCACTTTAGAATACTTGGAGGAATTAAAAGAGTGAGGTGGATCTATATCTGTTCTCATGGAAAGATCCTGCATTCGTTTTAGGAAGTGACAAGGGCAGGAGGCAAAATTATATGTACACTGTTATCTATCCATATTAAAAACTCACAATTTGTGTTTATAACACATCAATACAAGGGAAAGTCTAGAATAAATTTTAAAATAACACACAAATTTTGGGCTTTTGTTACTTCTGAAAAGAGGGATGAATTTTGGAGGGATGTAGTAAGGAAGGGGAATTATTATTTATCCATGCTGTTAGAATTTGGGGACAATAAAAGTATGTGCACTGTTACCTAAGGCCAGCAACAGCAACAAAAACAAATTAAAGTAAAATTTTCCTCATGGGAAAACATAGAGGAGACAGTGGAACAATGTTGACTTTTTCTTATTAAGGATAGCCCAACTGCCATAGAACCATTTTCCACCTCCTAGAAGGACTCCTGGGTTTTAGGAATTCTATGTACATGTGTGTTTATACAGTGATTTCCACGAGCCTTTTCTCATCTACTACTGAAGGAAGAGGCTTTGGTTTTGACCGACAAGGTAAATTCATTTATTTTTGTATGTGATCAGTGACCAATCTCAAATAATTCAGCTCATTAAAGCTCTATTGCAGATATCAGGGTGGTTTCCAAAACCTCCTCTCTAACTTAAGGGTTATGTCCCAAGAAACAAGAAACAGTAGGCTGTGTGCCAAATCAGACTTTAGTCACCAGCAGACTTGAAAATACTTTGTGAATGTGGTGAAGCACCTGGGCGGGGTGGGGGTGGGGGAGTGGTGAAGGCAAGGAGGTGTCTAAAACCACACTGTCAGAATTACATGGAAGGGAAGTTGCTGTCAGAAGGGAGCCAGGGGGCCTGATGGGAGCTGCAGGGAGTTGGAATGCTCTAAATCAGGGGAGGGTGCAGCCTGAGAGCTGTCTGTTCCTCCAGGAGCAGGATGCAGCCTGCAGGGGAGGACCCAGAGGAGAGCTGGCCTGAAGGTCAGGTCCAGGTATGGACATGAGGGCCCACTGGGGAAGTCCCAGGGGAGGGA